CAGCGTGCCTCCTTAGCTATTCATGCTCTGCGGTTGCAAAGGCAGGGACCAGCCACAAAGGTAGCAGATCCTTTGTGGAAAGAGGCCACCAGGAAGAGAGCCAACGGGTAGCTTTAGTGGGGAACAGGATCTCGAAAGCTTGTCCCAGGGCTGCATGTGGAGCCCACCTGGGGGAACTCTTGGCCCTAACAAACCCTCTTCCTTTGCCATAATTTTCTTAATTCATGCAAATGCCTCTCACTGAGGTGATCACGACCCAGGGATTGTGGGAAAGCTCATGAGAGGGGCTGCCATTCTCTGTAGACCCAGTGGGTTATTCTCTTAAATAGTTACCAGAGAGCTTCATTCCTTAAGATCTCGCCCTCAGAGTGCATGCTGCCCAGGGATGGAATGCTGGTGTGTAGTTTCTGCCATGCCCGGCCTCCTTGGCACATGTAAGAGCTATGTGATCAGATCTCTCCTCCCTCTTCCCATCACGGCTCCAACAGCAGCAGCATTCACCCAAGGAACATTTGTCGAGTGCCTGCTAAGAGTCCCACAGTAGAAAACCTTTGCTCTGAGGATGTTAAATTCCAGTCAACAATATTAACTGAGCGCCTACTATGTGCTGGATATTGCACTAAACACTGGGGAAAGGTGACTAAGCTGCTGTAGGTCAGAGCCTTAATGGGGGAGAAAGACTCCCAAACAGATAATTCCAACATGCAGTTCGTAAGTCATGAGACAACAAGCACAGGATGCAATAAGCACAGGAGCACTTCCTTCACCCAAGGCTTTGGGAAGGTTTCCTGAGCCAGGTGATGGCTGGGCTGCATCTTAAAAAGTGAGTTAGTATGATCCAAGTGAAGAAGGGTGGAAAGGGCAGTCTAGGTAGAAGGAACAGAATACAATACAATAAAATAAAATAGGCCAAGTGCGGTGGCTCATGCCTGTAATCATAATACTCTGGGAGGCCAAGGCAGGAGGATCACTTGAGGTCAGGAGTTTGAGACTAGCCTGAGCAAGAATAAGACCCCGTCTCTACAAAAAATACAAAAATTAGCCAGGCGTCGTAGCACAAATCCGTAATCCCAGCTACTCAGGAGGCTGAGGCAGGAGGATCACTTGAGCCCAGGAGTTTGAAGTTGCTGAGAGCTATGATGATGCCACTGCACTCTAGCCAGGGTGACAGCAAAACTCTGTGTCAAAAAAATATATAAATAAATAAAATAAAATAAAAGTTATGAACCATCACGAAGTGTTGGAAAGCTGCAAGATACCCTGTATTATCATCACGGCGTGAAGTTTGAAGCAGGGAATGCTGAGAGATGAGGCTGAGAGGTCACACCACACCATGCTAGGCCTTGTTTACCAGACTCATAACTAGGAATGTGTTGCTGGTGATGAGTCGGTAAAGGCTCTCAAACAGGGATCTTGGAGGTTTTCATCCTTAGATCGTCAGCAAGACTAGAGGCAAGAAGAACAGCTGGGAAATGGCTGTAGTAAGAGTATGAAGAATGATAAGAACCTGAAATAGAGAATGACAGTAGAGATCCAGAGGAGGAAAGTAGATTTAAGAAACATTCAGGACTTAAAATTGATGATATTTGATAAGCAATCGGAAGTGATATTTGATAAGCAGGTAGGGTGGTGCCAAATAGGGTAGATGAAGCAAAGCTGGAGCCTGCAATGACTACCATGTTTCTGGATTAGGTGGAGTGGTTTGGGGGAGAGGGAAGAGAGAAGAGAGCTAGTTAATGTGTTGAACTTTAGATTCCCCTGGGACCTTGAGACAGAGCTGCTCAGGGGCAGCAGAAGACCTGAGGCTAAGACTGGAAGAGGTCACGGCTGGGGACGTAAATCTGAGTATCAGCAGCTCACAGGCAGGGGACGGTCATATGGGTGTCCTCTAAGGAGAGTGCATGGAGGGGAAGGAGCAGGGGCCAGAGTGGAGCACTAAGAATACCAGCGGAAGAGGGACTGAGGCCGTGGCCAGAGGGTAGGAAGAGGCCAAAATAGAGATTTATAGTTGTCAACAGAGCAGAGTTCCATGGAGCACCGTGGCTAGTGTTCCATGAGATTCTGCTCTGTTTCATCTGAAATCACCAGGACAGTGGGACTGATGAAGGCATGTGACAGGAAGGAAGCTGTTGGGTAGAAGAAGGAGCAAGAATCTGTCTACCAGACAATGAGGGA